AATAAATAATATAAATTTAAAAAATATGTTTTTCAGCCTTTTAAAAAAAATATTAAAAATACAAAAACTGTCCTGAAATCAAAACTATATTAGATATTTACTTTCGATGGTGTGTACTTACTTTGCTATAAAAAAAGTAATCGTAAATCATACAGGATGTTCAAAATTCTACGCCAAATTTTCTAAAATATATATATTTTTTTTAATATCACACCCTATATATTATTTTTTCAATAGATTTTAGAAGAACTAAAAAATTAACATTTTTATGTACTTAGGTATTTCTAAATTTTTAACGCTTTCGCAGATATTTGTCATTTTCTTTTTTTTGACGTTTCCATATGGACAGACGCTATCTGAATTTTCTAATATCGATGGTGGTACCCAGGTAGTACTGACGTCGCTGTTGGTCCGGTGAGAAAGCGGACGCGGGGCTCTTTCGACCATTGTTGATGGGTTTAGGTACCACAGGGAACACATATACACGCGATATTATAATTATAATAAGGCAGAAGATGCTCGTTGTCCATTATATCGTTTTTTTTTTCGACCGGGTACTACTTATTACCATGCCAAATAGCGCCAAGTTACTCACTGGAGTAACTGTTCCATTCGATTATTTATTTAGATCTTTTTATAGAGGTACTTTTTTTATTTATTGCTTATTATATAGGGTGAGTCTTAAATAAGTGCAAATAATTTTAGCGTAGTATATTTTGAACCCAGAAACACATCGTGATTTTTTTTCCATAGCTACTGTTAAAATTGCCTAGATATATCTATCAAAAATAGTAGATAAAATAGTACTTTAACCACAAGAGTAGATTAAAGGATACTTTAACAGCGAGGATAGGTTAAAAATTTTATTTCTTCTCGCACGTTTTTTAATTGCTTCCATTTTTGAAAATGATATGGCGTTTGTCGCCTCAGCCTGATTACCTGTTGGTAATTTACTTATTTCGTTTTGAGCCATTTCTGGCTCCAATTCAATCAGCAATCGACACCAAAGAGAATTAAAAAATACTGACTCAAAACTGACAACTAAAGAGACAGTTTTTTTTATTTGTCAAATTACATAGAAATCAACGCCAACCCAGCATAAAATGTTTTCTACTCGTAATAAATTCCTTGAAGTAATAATTTTTGAATATTTTTTAAAACGTAACTGGCTATGGAAAAAAATATTGTTTTATACACGACGATAAAATTGTATTATCGTCTACCGAAATTAATTCACAAGAAGTTTTGATATAAATTCAAAGGTTTCTGTGGAGACATCAACAGCCGACTGCAAAAGGACCCTCAATTGAGTTTAATGATTCCTTTATTACTCAGTTTGACTCTTGGCATTATCTTTATTACTCTGTCCAATGTTCTTTTTATAAGAAAAATCTTAGTAAAAAACAAAGTATTTCATATACAGCCACTTAAAAGAGTCTAATTTTCGAAACATGAGACGATGAAGTTTATTTTTCCAAACCTCCTTGATTAAAAATTAATGTTTTTAACAACTCTCTAGATTAAAATTGAAAATACGATTTTTTTTAAGTGAGAATATCAAAAGTTGACATATGATATGTCATTCTATTCAAAAAAAAATACCGAGGGTGCCATTTAAAAATCAAAAGTTGTATTCCAGTTCCGGTAAAACAGGAAGTTACCGAAACAATTGAATACGTCGATCAATCCTAATTTATGTCATATACTAACATATAAAATCTCATTTTTTATCTAAAAAAAAATAAAAAAGTTATAGGGGTGAGCCACTTTTGAGACGCACCCGGTATAGTATGATACATTTGAAGTAGTAAAGAGTTCTACATATTTTTTTAGTTTAAATGTAACAATCCACTTTTATATAGGCTTATCATATTGTTCCATCTTCTTTACTTAAAAATACTTACCAGTATTTTGAAAGCATCCAACTATACATTTTTGATATATAACAAATAATTAATTTGTAAAAATATATAATTATTGCACAGGAATTAAATAAATAAATAAATTATGTATTTTATCCTTAGTTTAATATCTGAAAAAATAGTGTTCAGCTTTTTTTAACGCTAGAATTTCCGCACCTTGTATTATTATATTCTGTCACAGGATCGGTATTTTTTAGCCTTGTCCTAAAAACCTTGATCTTAGAATAATTCAAGCTGATAAATATTAAAATAAAGTATTTTAACACTTTATTTTAATATTTATCAGTCATAAACATAAATATTCTTTTACTTTTACTATTTGTATATTTATTTATGCTGTTGATCTTTAAAGAATAACGTAATTCTGACTCAGTTTTACTTGCGAATTTTAGGACACACCCTGTATAATATGGTATATACGTTAGTCATCGGTTTGGTATTTTTAGAAGACTAAAGTCCTTGATCTCGGAATATTCAGGGTGTTGTGTATGCATAATTAAGTAATTTTATTTTATTTCCTTTTTTTATTACTGTTTTCTTTGGTATTTGCATTTTTTTATTGAAAGGTTGTTCTTTCCACCAGATTATTTTGTTATTATTTACTTATTATTTTTTTATTAATTATGAAGCTGATTTTGAAATGAGGGGTAGTTTCATCTCGTTGGAATTTGACTTTCGAAAAATCCGTTTGCCAAAAATAGGCTTTTTACGTCAAGCAGTTTAAGCAGAATCGTGGTTAAGAAATTACCCAACTTTTTGGACCACTCTGTATGATTTTTTAAAAAATGTAAAAATATGTTAAAAAGCCAAATAAATTATGCTTGTCCAAGCGTTTTCCCGAAAGACTAAACGTTTTTTAAATAACAAATATTGTAATATTTGAGGGACGTTTTTACCCTCTTGGAATTCGAGTTTCAAAAAATCCCTTCTTATCGAACCTCTACACCCCCCAGTCAATTTGTTTTCCAAAAATCGGCATTTTACGTCAAGCGGTTTAAGCAGGATCGTGATTAATCAATGACCAGATTTTTCGAAACACCCTGTATACATTTTTAAAAAATCTTAAATAATGTAAAAGAAAAAAATAAAATATACGTGTTTAAGCGTTTTTTCGGAAACTTGGCCGTTTTTTAAATAAAAAATATTGTAATATTTGAGGGGTGGTTTCACCCTCTTGGAACTGGAATTTCGAAAAATCCCTTCTTATCGAACCTCTACACCCTAGAATCGACTTGTATGCCAAAATTGAGCTTCTTACGTTGAGTGGTTTGAGCAGGATCGTGAATAATCAGTATGTCAGTCACTTAAAGGATTTTATATATTAGTATAGATAAATCATAACAGAATAAGAATACCATACAAACTAAGTGAAATAGTCAAGAAAAATAAGAATAACATACATACATATTAGAGCTTATATCGCTGAAAAGCTTAAAAATGGCGCTTTTTATGAAGTCATGGGCAACTATGGTTTCCATTTAAAAAAAAACATGTTGTGTCATATGTCAAAAATGACAGGCTTTAGCAAAAAACGGAGGACACAATCTCATTAAGAATGTGATTATCTACAACTTTTATCCGAAAACTTTTTGTCTAAAATAGCTTATAATGGAATTAGTGACAATTTTTAAAATAGCCGAAATTTGTTTTTTTCGAAATATCTAGTAAGCCATGAACTTTAAAAGGCTCATGGCTTGATTGGTTGTCTTTCTCCATTTGTTTCTGTCTTTCGTCTTTATTCTCCACCCATTCACTCTTTTCCTTCTCAAGTCCTCTTTAACATCCTTTTTCCATCTGGTTCTCGGTCTACCCCTTCTTCTCTTTCCACCTATTTCACGTTTCATTAATGAAAACTTTTTGTCTAAAATAGATTGGAATTGGGGACAGTTTTTAAAATAGCCAAAATTTGTTTTTTTTTCGAAATATCTAGTAAGCCATGAACTTTTTGAAAAATCCGAAAGGCGCATGTTTATGACCCCACAAAGCTGCAATTCTTTCCCCATTTAACCGACTCTCTATCTCCAGTAGTTTCCGAGATACCCGTAGAGAACTTCGTAGAAAACTCACCCTGTATTTAACTTTTATTTTTAACCGTTTGATACATATCCGCCATACATATCAGCGACCCTGTATAACAGTCAATTTAGAACATTTTTTTTGTCACCTACACGAAACAGTCTACAAGAAAAAAAAACACAAAGTTTTCCTATTTTATAAATATATTCACATGACAATTACACATATTTGGTACCTTAAATCTAAAATAAAAACTCTACAACTAGAGGAAATACAAACGATAGGTATCATCAACCAATCAATCAATTATTAATCAATCAATAAAAAAATTTCAGTAGATACTTCCACGCGTGATATGAAACATTTTACAAAAACACCCTTTAGATATTAGTAGATATTGCTTATTTTTTTCTCGTCTTATAAATTTAGTTTTTTATATACTAAAAACAATGAAAGGTGATGAATGAAGAAATATTACAAATGGTAGTTATAAATATAACGTAATGGAATGCAAGTATCCACTTAAAAAAATATATACACAACTTGATTGCTTTTGTTTCCATGTTTTCCATGGTTTTTTTTACTTTGTAATCGCTAAAAAAAATGGCGTAAAAAATATAAATATTTACATCCCTAAATTCGATTTAATAATAATCTTAAAAACCACATATTTACAAAACTTTGAATATAATACTGATACAAGTTTGTTTCAATTCTTATTGCACATTCTATTCGTGAAATAGATTGTTTATATTTTATTTTTTATCGATTTATTTTGTGTGTTTCAAAATTGGGGGTTTTATAAATATGTAGTTTTGGTTTTGTCACGATAAAACTAAAATAAATAAATAAATAAATTAAAATAGCTTTTGCTCTAAAAACTATAGTACAGATTCTTCGGGTGTACAAAGGTTGGAAGCGAACTACAGGGTGGCCCATCGAAAACGTTCCGCAACGCATAACGGCCAGTGTAACTTTTCCTTCATATTTTCTCATGGCTCGTCCGATTTTCAAAAACGGGGCGGGGAAATATAGAGAATAGAAAATTCATGTGTTTTTGTATTTTTTGAAAAAAAAATACCCTGGCCGTTATACCTTGCGGAACGTTTTCGATGGGCCACCCTGTATAATAAATACGGTAAGATTAAATAAATACACCGTCCCAATAAATCGTTTTAAAAACTCTACGCTTACTATGACGTTGTTTTTATTAAATCAAAATGTATTTTTGTAGTAAACAATAAAGAATATACTTGATCAAAAACAGAATGTATTTCTTTGTATATTAGTAAGATTTTATTAAAAAATACGTAAAATAGTTGGAAGACTCTGTCACTGTATAATTTTATTTATTAAGTCTGTCAGATATTTTCTTATTGTTTTTTTCGAAAATTCTGTTTTTGTCAAGTATATATACAAGGTATTTCAGGAAACTGCTTTGTTAAAGTTTTTTGGGTTTAATTTATTTGAATTTTTGAAATTCAAGTTATATGACTAGGTGTTTTTTTCTTTCAAATATATTTTACTCAGCTTTGGAAGGGCTGCCAAATTGTTTATTTTAAGTAGAACACACTGTATATTTTGTAATTTTTGTAGTCTAAATGAATAAAATATAAAAATACTTTGTATATAAGAAATTTTCATTTTGTATTTAAATATTACGTCCTAAAAAACTTGATATTAACCAGTTACCTGAAACACCCTGTGTAAGTATCGAGAATTATATAAAATTGGCATAATACTATTTTTCAAACACAAATAATATGTTCTTAATATTAGAAATTTGGCATCATTTTTTTTATAATAATTATAAACATATATATTATTCCTTATTCCAAAAAACGAGTTACTAATCCTATACATATAATAGTTTTCGTTCAAAATCGACGAAAAAAACTTTATATTATACTCTTTTTCTTATTCTTATTAATATTATCTTCTTTTTTTAGTAAAAATATACTTTAAAAACTCTAAAAGGTATATTATCGCTTTAAATTTACAAACAACATTATTATGGCCATTATTTTCATCTTTTTTTCATTAATCAGAAGAACGATTATCGTTTTTTACAATTCTACAGCTTCCTTTAGTCTCCTAAACATAATTTATATTGAAAATTCGAATAAATTAATGTACGCCACTGCTTCGTAAAAATATATAAATGGCGCTACGACGGCAAGGCAAACTATGAAAAAAAAACACCGTCATGGTAACTTTCGAAAATTTCAAAGGTCACTATGACGACGTTTTTTTTTATTAATTCTCCCATATAGCAAAAATAAAGTAGTCTTGTAAAATTAACTAAAAATACTTATTATATGTACACGGAAAAAAATTACGTAAAATAAAACGATTTAATACTATTTTCTGGTAATATAAAATCAACTTTGGTATAAAATTATTAAAAATATACAGAGGCATATAAAGAGCGACGATGATTAGAAATTAACTCGTTATAACTTTAAATATTATGACTTTGTACTTTATTTCAGTGATTTATATTTTTCTTATATTCATTTTTTTTTAATCTGAGATCACAGAGGCACTAATTTAGTTTATTTTTGATGGATTTTAAGGATTAGAGACAGTATTGGGGTAGATTTTTTGTCGAAAATAAAGTGTTTTGATAAAAATAATATATACTCTTTCAAAGTACACGAAAACTTACTTTTTTTATATTCAAATACACAAAATATCAGCTGGGTAAACTGTAAATTTATTTATTCATTTAAAAAAAATATTTTGCATTGATTTTCTTACTAAATTTAGGCTCAAAAGATTTCCATTAAGAACTCGGAAAAATTATTTAATTTTCCACAATTCAAATTCTTTAGGTATGTCTTTTTAGGTAAATGTCTGATAGATAAAAATATAACCACAAAAAGCTAATATAACTAAATATCAGAAAAAGAACACAAAAAACAAGAAGCGTAGGTATTATAAACAACATTTTTTTTTAGTTTCTCAGAGATGGACAAGAAGTAAGGAATTTTCAATGTTTTATGAGACACTCTATATAGTGAGCAACATAAGATTTAAAATAATATTTTACATAAAATTGTAGCCTGACTTTTACCGAACATTTTGTTTTTTTTATTCACTATGATATCTTAATTATTAAAAAATATACAGGATTTCAAAGAAAAAAAATGTAGATTACACGCAAGTAAGTGAAGTTCCCAAATATTTTTAATTGTCACTTGCTCACTCCACAGAGTGTCTCAAAAACATTGTAAATTCCTTACTTCCTTTATATCCCTGTATATGATATAAGAAGGGATCGTTTAAAAATGGCAATATGGTCAGATGAATTCCCCAAGAATCAAGCGAAAAAAAAACGGCGTCAGAGACGGCTGGGGAATGACAATCCATGATAATTTTCTCGAGGTCAATTTCTCAATTCAAAATCATCGAAAATATTTGTGTTTTAATAAAACATATACATGGTCTTTAAGAAATCTACGCTTCCTATGTTTATAATTCTCTTTCTGAAACCTATACAGCCATTGACAATGTCGGAAATAATTAATATCAACAACTCTTATAACAATGTCATTTATTTATCATCGGTAAATGTTCCTGATAGGGACCCGTAACCATACAGGGGTACATAGGAAACATCGTGGTCAAAGAAATCGTAGGCGCCGTAGCAGTCCTAACCATAACCCCCTCAGAGGTCTCAGAAGACTTATTACCCTCAAAACTACCATCGAACTCAGACTGAGACGAAGAATCATCCAGTTTATTTTTCTGTTTCATCGTATACTCATCCAAACCATGCTGAGCCTTATTTAAATTCCTATGCTGGTAAAAAACCAAAGATATTCTAGTAGGATTTTGCCTGTTAGGCCTCCTAAGAGCTGTGGTTGCATGGAGTTCGTGTTTGGCACATTCAAAAAGAACACTACCATGAGACAATGCGATTGCAACTCCACCTATTTCAGGGTCTTTGAAACATTCTGAATTGTCTGTAAATTTAATATCCACAGATTTGGATGGTTTGGGTTGTTCAAAAACTTGAGGGACTACAGGATGTGGATGTGGATGTGGAGGAGGAGGTATCATGTTGTTTGTATAGAAATCATCAAAAGGGTTGTTGCTTCTGTATGGGAACTGATGGGAAGCGTAATGAGACAGTAAATGTGGTGTGGGATGGTTACTGTAAGCGTAAGGATTGTAATGATGGGCAAAAGCATTGTAAGGACTGTTATGGGAGTAATGATCATTGAATCCCGTATAGTTATACGCGTATGAAGTCTTAAAAATTGAAAATTGAGGTAAGTTGTGAGGATTATGGAAGTTACTAGCGTTTAAAGTATTCTCATAACTGCTATTACCAGGAAAGTTATCATACCTCCAAGTATTAGGAGGCCTGTTAGGTGAATCAAGCACAGTACTTGATACTTGACCGTTCTGTATTTCCGGTGGGTTACTGTAGTGACTCGGGCAAGGTTTCGCTGGGTATTGTTGCTGAAGAGTTGTTGAAGAGACCGATGGAGATGATGGTTGAGAATTGGTAGATTTCTTCTTTCTTTGGCCTTCTTCTTTTTTGCTTTTGCGGTTTCGACATTTGGCAGCCGGTTCTGAGAAGGTTCTCACCTCACATTCGTACCTAGAAAAACAAAATATAAAGATAAAACATTGTTTGTAGTGCCACAGATTATACAGATTATAAACTTTGTTTTTTCTTTATTGTTTTTCGTGGTTCCAATTTTCGGAATCGGGCACTAGTTACTAGCACATAGCACGCCCACTTATGGCCTCTAAAATTGTGCACAGCGCCTGACCGGCACAGTTATTAGAGATATATCGGAAAACCGAATAGCGTCATGCAGTATTTACGCGTACGTTATCATGGTTACGATATCGCGAGTCAATTTTTAACGCAACACCCGCTAATAACGTTACCGCCTGACGTAATTTGCGGATCAATTACACCAAGCGCAATTTCTAAATAACGTTTAAAAATTGCTTAAATGGGCATGTGCGGGTATTTGACGACCGGGGCCGGCCGGCGAGATCTTTTATTTTAGGTTATGTTTGAATTGTTTTGAATTATTACTTTAGTTTTATTAGGTAATTTGATATTTAAGTAGCTGGGATTAGTTTTAATTAAATAAATATGGCCCAAAATATGGATTCCACCTCTTCCAATATTAAAGAACCTATAAAGAGGCTTAGGTTTACAGCAGATGACGACTTAGCCCTTCTAAGAGAATTTGTTGCTTGTTGCCCTAAACCCACTGGCAGACGTTGAACAATAAAGCACTGGAAATAAGCACTTTAGTACCATTAACAAGATAATTGCTACAGTCATCCAAAAAAGAATATCAGATGCCCTTGAACCGACTTTGAGAAAAGAACAAGCAGGCTTTAGGCCTCAAAGATCATGTATCGACCAAATTAATACTCTCAGAATAATAATAGAGCAATCTCAAGAGTTCAGATCGCCATTATACATGGTGTTCGTGGATTTTCAAAGAGCATTCGATACTATAAAACACATAGCCATCTGGAAAGCTTTGAGAGAAAAAGCAATACCCGAAAAAATAATCCGCATGATTAAAATGTTTTATCAGGATGCTACAAGCTGTGTATTACATAAAGGTTAAGTAGGGGAGAAAATTTCTATTGCAGTAGGTGTAAAACAGGGCTGTATACTTTCGCCGCTACTCTTTAACATCGTTCTGGATGTAGCACTAAATAGAACATTTAAAGAACCACTAGGGATACAATGGAGACTCTTAAGCAGGCTAGAAGACCTGGATTACGCAGACGATCTATGCATCTTTTCCCATTCACATTCGGATATGTCTCAAAAACTTCTTAGACTCCAAGAGGAAGCTAATAATGTCGGTCTTCAAATCAACGTGGCGAAAACCAAAGAAATTAGGTCAAATACTCCCAACAACCAAGATCTATACCTCTCCAACCGAGTCATCGAAAGAGTTGATGAATTTCAGTACCTGGGAAGTATGGTTCACAGCGATGGGGGCACAGAGAAAGATATAGAGGAAAGGATTTTGAAGGCACAAAGAGCTTTTGGCATGCTTACACCTGTGTGGAACGCCTCTATATATAGCAAAAAAACTAAAGTCCAGCTCTTCAATAGCAATGTCAAATCTATTTTGCTTTATGGATGCGAAACATGGAAGGTTACGTGTGGTCTCATGGATCGCCTACAGGTGTTTGTTAACAAGTGTCTTCAAAGAATATTGAGAATTTTCTGGCCCAATCAAATTAACAACGAAGAACTGTGGAGAAGAACATCACAAAATCGAATAGATATCGAAATTAAGAAAAGAAAGTGGGGCTGGATTGGGCACATTTTGCGCAGACCCCACAGAGATATCGCTAGACAGGCACTTGAATGGATTCCACAGGGAAGACGTGCCAGGGGAAGACCAAGGAATACCTGGAGAAGAACAGTAACCTCTGAAGCCCAAGAGGTCGGGAAAACATGGGGAGAGATCAAACAGACAGCTAAGAATAGGATCAGATGGAAACATCTCTTAGAAGCCCTATGTCCCACGAAGGGATGACGGGAACATATATTATATAAAATGTGCTAATGTACTTACTTCTTAAGGACCTCCAACTGACCACTCTGAACCTTAGCATCCTGATTCTCCTTGGAACCAAACTCGTCAGTACCGTCAGGCACGTAAAGAGGAAGCACGTGATACTGTTCTTCTTGAGCTTTACTCAAACCCCTGTGCTTGGTCAAACTCACCACCACAGTACATCCGTTGTTCATGTTATGGATATCTTTGTGAGCGTGAGCACAGAAATCCACGCAAGCTGTCACCCCGGAAAACGGTCTTTCTGGTTTAGTACCCAGCCTACAGTCTGAGGCAACTTCTTCAAAACCGATCTGATTTCTGAAAGATCTTGGTGCCAGGGTCTTGTACAGTGGATTAATATGATCCACCAGATTCTGAAGTCTATCTTCAACAAGACGTTCTTCTTCTTTGACACTCAGCCTGAACTTCCTGACTTCTTTGGATCTGGTGAACTTGCATCCATTATAGTACATGCTCCAAGAGCATCCAAAAGAAAAGCTGGCTCCACACGTGTCTTCGTTGATTCCCTGGCATGCGCAGGTTCTTGGATCGTTCGTTGCGCATCGACGTTTGGTTGGAACTCCAAACTTGTTGAGTTTGTCTGTTAGGAGGGAGTAGAGGTCAGAGGCGTGGTCTTGAGTGATGCCGTCCCACACTACCATGCAGATGACGATGAAAGCTGATTGACAGGAGTGGCCATTTCGGTGCTTAACTATGACTAGATATTTTTCTTCTAAACTTACTCTGCGATGGACCTAGAAAATTTAATTTTGTGTTTTCTGGCATGTATAAAAAAGAACTAACTCGTATAATATAATTTATTTATGATAGAATAAACATGTTTTGTATAAAAACTCTCGCTAATATACAGGGTGGTCCAAACTGTATTCCGGAAACTAATGAAAAAACGGATGTCCTAAAATGCATAATTTCGGAGATACAGGGTGTAGAAGTTTCATTTTTATTTAGATTTTTTCCAAATAATTTTTGAAGTAACGTCAATATTTGGATGAAAATTGGTGTCTGGGAGTTTTTTGATATGAGAAATTTGATTTTGATGTTAATATGACTCCTACTTGTAGATGGCGCCGCCTACATATTTTTTAAATGGTTTGAAAAGTAATAACTTTTCGCCCGTACCTGTATAATACTACTAAGTAAAAAAATAGACATTTACGACGTTTTTTACGTAAAAAATATCTCTTGAAAAAAATCGCTACGAGTAATGGTTCTCGAGATATTTGGAATTGAAATTATCAATACAACTTCTACAGCCTGTATCTCCGAAATTGGGCATTTTAGGCCATACATTTATACGAACTTTTTTATTTATTTTTATCCGCAGAATATTACAGTTGAGGGTTGGAACCTTTGGTGTTACACAGCAAATTAAAAACACTAAATCGCCACAATACACCAAAACACTTTTACTGTAACTCAGTTTATAATCATCTGCTGATGATGCTAACATGGTTAGCGAAACGCGCGTCCAGTGTAAAAGTAAATGTAATACAGCAAGTAGTACAGTATACAATAAGTAATACACCAAAACACTTTTACTTTTACACTGGACGCGCGTTTCGCTAACCATGTTAGCATCATCAGATGATTATAAACTCAGTTTGTGAGCCACAAATACACCAAAAGTGTTTTGGTGTATTGTGGCGATTTAGGGTTTTTATTTTGCAGAATATGCTGTTAAAGTTTCCGGAACACAGTTCGGACCACCCTGTATAGTGTGATTCACGGCGATGGCACGTTAGACGTTTATGAAGAACCGGTGATAGAATTTTTTGGAAAATTTGGTGTCCATTTATCTAAAATATTTACGGCGTTACAATGTTGCCGCGTCATTTGAAAAGTTGTATTATCTTTCTTATTTTGAATGGAACACCCGGTATATTAATACATTTTTGGAAACTACTTTCATATCTCATAATTTTTCTATTAAACTAACCCCTATAACTATCTGTAACATTTTTTTAAATGGCTTTACTGAAACCAGAAGGTTTAGAGATAGGAACATGATATATCGTTTAAAAGCAATTTTATTAGCAAATTTATATTATTATTTTATAAATTATATTATTTATATTATAAATATTTTTTTTTTCTGACCTCCCTGTTTGATATCCAATCAGTGGATTTAGACAAATCGAATATGTCGACTTTCCTTAACCTATAAACCAAATTTCAGCTTCAATATGCCGAGTTTTTGATTTAATCGAGATCATGGTTTTGTTAATTTTAAACATATTTTATTTTTTATCTCGAAAACTATAGAGATAGGTTTAGTTCAGTCATTGGGGATTTTTGCTTGGAAAGTTGCATTTTGCAGGTTTATAGGTTTTGGGGACCCTAACTTAAAATCCATAAAATGCACATTTCCAGACTTGCCGCCGGCGCCGCCATCTTGCCAAGATGGCGCCCAAAATCGGTATTTTGTGAATATCTCGAAAACTATGTGTTTTTCTTTCTTTCGGAAATTTGAAGATGAAATTGTATTCTCTTTAATTTTGCTCTCTTCAAATTTTTGCAAAAAACGCATAGTTTTCGAGATATTTACAAAATACCGATTTTGGGCAGGCCTTTTTTTTGATCCCCAATGACTGAACTAGTTAGTATAATAGAAAAATGAGGAGATATGAAAGCAGTTTCGAAAAATGTAGTAATATACCGGGTGTTCCATTTAAAGTAACAAAGATGCTACTACTTTTAGTATGAAACGACAACACTGTAATGCTGAAAATAATTTAGACGAGATTAAAATCATATAAAAAAAAATTTTCGGTTCTCTATAAAAGTCCTAACATAAATCACCCTGTATTTATCAATAAAAAACGTATTTTACAGACTCACCCATTTGGCAATTGGACACCCTTGAGCGGTTTTGCCCTCCTTCCCAGTGTACCTCACCTTCTCAATCCTAATAGCTGGTCCACTCAACCCCGTCTGACATTCCAGGTTATGTCTTAGTGTTCTAAGGTTACTAGCACAGCCTAAATGCGTATAATAAGTCCCCGGTTCTGGGGGACTCTGATCCGGAGGAAAACACTGACATCTCGGAATCTCCTCACCAACTTTGGGAGGAGAAGTCTTCTCATTTATCCTGGTACTATCAGGGGAATATAGATTCATCGAAGGAGGAGATGATTTTTCTTTTCTTTTTTCATTCAGCCAAGTTCTAGTAGGTTCTGGTGATGCAAATGAGGTTTCTGAATGCTGTTGGTATGTGCTTTTGTTATAAAGTACTGCCTGAGAGTTTTGTTCTAAACTAGTGAAAGAAGGTTGAGGAGGTATTTCTGGCTTAGGTTCAGTAGAATTTGCTCTATGGTTTGATATGTTTTTAGTCCCGTAATTCCATAAATTTGGTTCTGGATACTTGTTTTGTGCATTGTTAATACTGACATTTGAAAGAGTTTTATCACTATTAGTGCCTTGCTCAATTTTCAACTCAGTTTTAGTACCATTTTGGGTTTCCTCTTTTGGTTTACCAGAAAAATCGTTGTAGCCTAGTCTTAAATTGTTTTGTTCCGATTTAAAGTTATTCTGAGCAAGATTCTGAGTATTTTCATACGGGTAAGCTTTGTCTGAGTTGGGAAGAGAGTGTTTTCGGGGGCCACCATCAACACTTAGCGGATCTAAGCGATGATGGTGGCTATACCATAAAAAATGACCGGTAGAGTTTCCCTGTTCTACTGGTTTCATGTCCTGTTCCATCTTGGCGTCGTTCTGTTGCTTGTTCAGGATCATCGTTTTGATCCGTGTGTTCAGGTTCACCTTATCCGCTTGGGAAAAAGTCTTTTGCGAGTTGTCACTCTGAATTTTATTGGGAGAAGTGTTATCTGAGGTTGTTTGGTGCTGTTGTGGCATGTACTGATCGGATTGTTGGTAGGTTTGTTCCATTTTGGTGTTGTCTTGCATTTGCTGGTGTTGCTGACGTTCCCACATGGCTTGTTGGTGTTCTTGCCATTGCTGTTGGGGATTGTGCTGTCCGCTGTACTGCTCTGTGCCTGGGTAGCCACTAGAGTTGTGTGAACCCACCTGCGGACTGCTGGCGTTCACCTAAATAAAAAAAATTAAAGAAAAATATAGAATTGAACTTTGATGTTTTTTAATATTTTATAGATTGTGTTCTAGTTTTCTGAAGCAATTTAGAAAGAGAATATAGAAAAAATATCCGTAATTCTTTTAGTTTCAAATTATAAGCATATACAGTGCGATCAAAATATTGTAGGTATAATTTACCTGTGGATACCCAGGCTGACCGTTTCCCGAACTCGCGTTAACGTACTGAGTCTGTTGCTGTTGCTGATTGGAACTAGGACTGAAATTAGCTGCACTGACAGTCGTATACACCGTCTGTTGCTGTTGGTTTTGCTGTTGCTGCTGATTCTGCTGTTGCTGTCCCTGATTGAAATTCTGATTGGGAGTTGGTGGATTCTGATTCACCACACTGTTAACCTAGAAGAAAACAACCATTTGTAATTCAACCAATTTATCAATAATGGGCCAAAGACCTTGCAAAAACCAACAATAGCAAAAGTTAGCATGAAACCGGAGAATAATAAAATTATAAAGATATACTATACTTACAGAGCTGGGTCTTGATTGAGATCCTTCGTTTCCAGAATTGTTCGAAGCAAACTGATTGTATTCCTGGTACTGTCTGTTAGTGTTGGCCTGTTGCTGAGTTTGTTGCTGATTTTGTTGCTGAGCTGCCGGACTGGGACTAGGTGTGTGAGCATAGTCGGGGTTTGGTCTAGATATCATTTGAGCTTGCTGAGTCGGTACACTGTAATTCAAAGTAAATAATCACATAATTTGAGTTATAGAATATTATGTGGTGTTTGGAAATTTAAAAATAGTCTGATCACAAGTAAGAACGAATCTATACAGCATTACAAGTTAGAATTAAAGAATATTATACTAACATAATAAAGAATAAGGCTTGAAAATCAATCATATTTCATCAAAGTACACTCGTACGACCAAATTTTCTAAATATAACTGCAGTCCAATATTTTATTTATTTTATTTAAATATTCCAAACTAACCTGGGTGGTCTGGCGTTGGCAGGTGTCAACACTTGGACGGCGCCAGTGTAGAAAGTGTTCGCTTCGAAAGCAGGCTGTTGGTACGTGGTTTGGTAGATTCCGTTCGGGTACTGTTGGTAAGTATCAATAGGTTGTCCAGCTGAAGGGATCTGCTGAATGAACTGTCCTTGCCATCCTGATACTAAAAGAAAAAGAAAAAATTGTTTTGGTATGGTGTATGGTACTGAAAATAGAAGGTACTAACCTTGCGATGGGTCTGCTTGCCATACAGGTGTGGGAAAACGGTTGGGGTCAGCGTAGAACGGCATTGGGGTCTGGAAAAAACAGACAATGTTATAAAAAATTATTATAACAATAGTAATAAAAAAATATAATCATAACTCGTTAAAAAGCATTCTTAATTTTAAAATGTTTGTCTGGAGATAAACATTAAAAATAACCAAAGCATGTATTGACGTTAATCAAAAAACAAAACTGCTCAGGAGTCATAGTTCTGACCGTAGAATTATATTTTAGGAAAATTTTTACACACGAAATTATTGCACAGGGTGTTTTAAAGTTAAGGTAAAAAAACAATCCCTCGATTAACCCTGTATAATATGCCAAATACTAAAGTTTATAAAAAGCTGAGTTTACGAATAAAAGATTATATAATTATACAGGGTTGGTCACCACATACGACACGGAGTATTGTAGCTAAACGATGAGATTTTTACAAATTGTAAGTTTTGGGTTCGATGAAGGACTATTAGAGGTACAATTTAAAAATAATTTTACAAGATACAGAGTGTCCCAAATAAGTAAAAAATATCAAAGTTGTATTTTTTTAAATGGAACACCCTGTATATTATTACATTTTTAGTTTCTACGATTAAAATAAAGATAAATTTGATTAAGGTTTATTATACTTAAACCTTACCGTTTTTGAAATATTTTCAATTTTGTGAAATTGCAGTAAAAATTTTAAGGCTTCATTTCTCCAAGGGTATCAAAGTTTTTAATACTAAATATTTACTGAAGTTTACTTACTGATCAGTTATTGTGTTGCAATAATAAAAATAATACTACCTTATACAGAGTGTCTAAAAATTTATTTTAAATAATTATTAGCTTCAAACGGCAATAACTTGTTTAATTTAAATGGAACACCCTGTATATTTTACGCGAATCAGATGCACAATTTAATTGTCTATCAAATTATATTATACCATTTTTACCTATCTCTTTAAGTTTCCGTAGAAAATAAATTTTCTTGTAATTTAGAACTAGAGTACAGATACTAATGTTGTCGATATAATTCGTTTATTTCATTAAAAAATAAAAAAAAACTGTTTAAATATTTGTTAAAGAGGATAAATTAATATGATTCCAGTATTCAAACTACATGACTGTTTGCGTTGATTAATAATAATTGCTCCAAATACTAAAAAACTGAATTTTGTATGGGCATTAGACAGTGTGATAAAAAGTAACACCTTAAAAATGATATTTCATTTTTTAATAAATGCTTATTTATAACAACAGAGACTTTAATTTGATAACTTATTATTATATTGATTTCTGACTCAAATCCACATTTATAATAATTTATTAACGAACACAATTAAGTATGTAATTAATTAGTATATGGGCGGAAATAATGGTGTTATATTTAATTAATGGTATACTCTTTTATAAAGATTTAAATAGTTTTCTTTTTGCATACAAATGGGCTAGTAATATTATCGTTTTGTTAAAAACGATAATATTACTAGCCTGTACAGTTTGTACATTTGTTGCTTTAAAAACAATCTAAAATGTAAATATTCCATAGGTATATTGATAAATGAGGTCTAAATTATAAGAAAATGCATTTTCTATGAAAACTTGAAGGTATAGGTAAAAAGTGGTATAATACAGTCTGATAGACAATTAAATTATGCATCTGATTTTCCAAAATTATACACGACGTTCCATTTAAATTAAACAAGTTATTGCCGTGTAAAGCTAGTAATTATTTAAAATAAATTTTTAGACACTCTGTATAAGGTAGTAAAGTTTTTATTATTGCAACACAATAACTGATCAATAAATACACTTCAGTAAATATTTAGTAATAAAAACTTTGATACCCTCGGAGAAATGAAGCCTTAAAATTTATACTGCAATTTCACACAATTGAAAATATTTCAAAAACGGTAAGGTTTAAGTGTAATAAACCTTAATCAAATTTACCTTTATTTTATGCGTAGAAACTAAAAATGTAATAATATATAGGGTGTTCCATTTAAAAAAATACAACTTTGATATTTTTTATTTATTCGGGACACTCTGTATTTTGTAAAAATATTTTTAAATTGTAGCTCTAATAGTCCTTCAACGAATCCAAAACTTACAATTTGTAAAAATCTAGTCGTTTAGCTACAATACTTCGTGTCGTATGTGGTGAACAACCCTGTATAGTTTTATAACATTTACAATTACTTTTCGATTTATTATCTGTTATATCTTTTATAGAAATATCTTTTATAGTTTTCTAGGATACGTTTTTATAACTTTTACAGTTATTTTTTTATTTATAATAAAGTTTCAATAAAATTATTTTTTTTATTTAAATCACATGATTAAAATTAAAAGAGTCACTTGATTTAAATCATACCAACCCTGGTTAAAAGTAACAAAAATATAACAGTTTAAATTTGACCAGAAAGAAAAACAATTTTTCAATTTTTTTTGGCGGAAAAAACCATAGACGTGTTTCTGAAGTCGAAATATACTACCACTAAACGCTTGCTGTGTAGCCTATACGGACAAACACAGAAAACACTTAATTAACCGAGACCTGGTCAATTCCATCCCTAATCATCCTCCTAATCGTCGGTCCGTCACCCCGAAAAGGACAAAAACCATCCCCCAGAGTTTATTTTTGGACAGGGTTAAAGTTGAGCGACGGCCGGAGACCCCAAAGGGGGAAAACCGGCCCTCCCTGACCTGCCCCAACGCGCCGCCTTGTTTACACGACCGACGGACCCTTCCTTCTTCATCTTCAACCCCTCACACTCCTCCACCGAAGCTATCAAATGGAGAATCTCCCCCTGGAAGTCGTCGTGAGGCTCAGCTGATAATAACACGGACTTTTTATTTTCAAGGTTAATGTTTTCGGGTGGTGCATTTTTCAAAGGAGCGTGAATAAGGGTTGGTTCTACCCCACGCGAATTTTCGATGGGAGATGTGTTGGACTTGGGGAGAGATACAGCGGAAAAAGGTGTAAATATTAGGGAGTAGAATTGTCTTATGATTGCTTCATGCAAAACAAAATTTAGTTTAATTAAAATTAAAGGTTAGAATGATATAGGAAAATATAATATGATAGAAAAATAAACGGGGCGTCAGCCATGGCTCTGTACCAGCGACTTCGTTCGCGTCGAATTAATCATTTGTAATGGTGATGGTAAAGCAAAGCAAGAATTTCCATTAACATATAAACTGGATAAAATTTTCTCACATTTATGTCAGCATGAGAAAAAACAATATGGCGATATTATTATATAACTTGGTAATATGTGAGGGGTAGTTTCATCTCGTTGGAATTTGATTTCGAAAAAATCCGTTTGCCAAAAATAAGCTTTTTACGTCAAGCAGTTTAAGCAGAATCGTGGTTAAGAAATTACCCAACTTTTTCGAACACCCTGTATGATTTTCTTAAAAATTTCAAAATATGTAAAAAAACAAATAAATTATGCTTGTCCAAGCGTTTTCCCGAAAGACTAACCGTTTCTTAAATAACAAATATTGTAATATTTGAGGGAGTTTTCACCCTCTTGGAATTTGAGATTCGAGAAACCCTCCTTATCGAACCTCTACACCCCACACTCAATCCGTTTACCAAAAATCAGCTTTAAACGTCAAGCAGTTTAAGCAGAATCGTGATTAATCAATGGTCATATTTCATGAAACATCCTGTAAAAATTTATAAAAAATCGTACAATATGTAAAACAACACAATAAAATATACGTGTTTAAGAGTTTTCCGAAAAACTCACCGGTTTTAAATAAAAATATTTTAATATTTGAGGGATAGTTTCACCCTTTAGAATTCGAGTTTCGAAAAATCCCTTCTTATCGAACCTCTACACCCTAAAGTCAATCTGTTTTCCAAAAATCAGCTTTTTACGTCAAGCGCTTTAAGCAGGATCGTGATTAATCAATGACCAGATTTTTCGAAACACCCTGTATACATTTTTAAAAAATCTTAAAATATGTAAAAAAAACAAATAAATTATGCTTGTCCAAGCGTTTTCCCGAAAGACTAACCGTTTCTTAAATAACAAATATTGTAATATTTGAGGGGAGTTTTCACCCTCTTGGAATTTGAGATTCGAGAAACCCCTCCTTATCGAACCTCTACACCCCACACTCAATCCGTTTACCAAAAATCAGCTTTAAACGTCAAGCAGTTTAAGCAGAATCGTGATTAATCAATGGTCATATTTCATGAAACACCCTGTAAAAATTTATAAAAAATCTTAAAATATGTAAAACTACAAAATAAAATATATTTAAGAGTTTTTCCGAAAAACTCACCGGTTTTTAAATAAAAAATATTTTAATATTTGAGGGATAGTTTCACCCCCTTAGAATTCAAGTTTCGAAAAATCCCTTCTTATCGAACCTCTACACCCTAAAGTCAATCTGTTTTCCAAAAATCAGCTTTTTACGTCAAGCGCTTTAAGCAGGATCGTGATTAATCAATGACCAGATTTTTGAAACACCCTGTATACATTTTTAAAAAATCTTAAAATATGTAAAAAACAAAATAAAATATACGTGTTTAAGCGTTTTTCGGAAACTTGGCCGTTTTTAAATAAAAAATATTGTAATATTTGAGGGGTGGTTTCACCCTCTTGGAACTGGAATTTCGAAAAATCCCTTCTTATCGAACCTCTACACCCTAGAATCATCCTGTATGCCAAAATTGAGCTTCTTACGTTGAGTGGTTTGAGCAGGATCGTGATTAATCAGTATAAGGATTTTATATATTAGTATAGATTATATGGGGAATGGAATGTCATCGATCGTCATTTCCAAGCCAACTGGACGCCTTTTTTCGATCACACCGTATAATGTCGTATGTTTCAAAACTTGTCCAACAATTTAACAGATACTATTTATGCTGATAAATTAATATGTCTACTAAAGTCTTATTATTCTTCTTAATTTATTATTCAATCATTATGAAGAACTATACGGAGATATTTTTAAAACGAAGGTCAGATATAAAACGTTTTTCCTTGAAAAACGTGAAATTTAACTTAAAATTTATTATTTACTTCATTAAATTTTATTATTTACTTTAATGTCAAAAATAAGAAAGATAAAAAATAGGCCATAACAGATAGTTTTTCTTCTCATTGGAATATAATTTATTTTTTCAGGGCTATTAGAGATTACGGTTTGTACAATAGTACCGTATGACCGAAAAAAAAACGGCGTCAAAGACGGCCGAGGAATGACAATCGATAATAATTTTGGCGAGGTCAATCTCTAGATTTCTTTTTTTTTAAATCTTCTCGAACTCGTTTTTTTATAATAATCTTTATGTTTATTTCCGGCAAGCTTGTATTTTTAATGAAAAAATATTATCTAACGCACTTTTTTAAACCAAACAAAAATAAAAGTTAGTTAAAACAGAAGATTTTAGAAAAAAAAATAATTTTTAATTTTTTTCATATTGTTCCACCACTTCAAAAAATTCTAAAAAATTCCTGAGTGTAAAGAAGTATAAAAGACATTTTCTGACAATTTTTAGTCAGTGACATACTTCACAAAGGTTAAAAAAATGAAGATTTTAATTTTATTTCCTCCACTAAACATCGGCTTTTCGTTTAAGAATCATGATCATATTATTTTTTCTTGTCTTAGACTTCTAATAATTAGAAAAAAAATCATCATTAATTAATTTTGAATTTTACTATTAAAATAAAAATAAAATTAAAAAACAGTAAAAAATCTCGAAACCCGTTTGTAAAAATAAAGAGTTTTTTTTTAAATTTCAGAGAAAACGGTAAAGACTTTGAAAAAAATATTTCAATAAAAACGATACCCTAGATTCTAGCCACCCTATCACGGTAAATTTTGAATTGAGCAAAAAAAGTATAGAGATCATTTTTATGAAAAATTTGACGCTTTACAAAATTTATTTGAACTTTTTTCTTCGAGTCCTTACCGTTTCTCCGAAATTTTGACAAAATTATTGTATTTATTTATTTCACCCCATTTCATGTCAAAGTTATATTAACAATTCAAGATTTTTTTTTTTTAAAGATGAATAAGTGATTGTTTTTACTCACCATTGGTTGTTGTTGCACTGTCAAGGGTTGTGCTACAGCCGGTTGAGGGCTGGGTCGAGAGTTGGGCTGTTGAGGAGTTGCTACGGAACTCCCGTTGGAGTCGTGAGATGGAGGAATACCTGCAACGGGCACTCCAAGAGGCGTTATAGGACCGTTTGGTTTCCTTCCTCTATAACTCTGAAAAAAAAACAGAAAAAACTATTTTAGAGAATTTTTTTACATATATCTAAGTTAGTTACTCTATTTATAACTCAAGAACGACTAGCACCGGTTTAATTTTAACAAGATATGAATTAAAAATATATATTTCCGTTTAAGGTATCTCCTATATTCCCCAGGTAGAATAAAATATTTGTATTGGTTACATCCAGCCGTACCTTTGAGATTTTACAAACGGAATACCATTATTTACAAAAGATCCCAAATTTGGGAGTTCTTTGTTAGCATTTTACCTGTATAGGCTACTGTGTATTGTTTGAATTGAATCAAATTACAGACATTTTTAATTTTTTTTACCTGAGATTTTTTGTGTCTTCATTTTTAAAACCATTTTTGATATAGAGTAGATATGATTAATTATTTTTAATTTTTATTTATTTTATCACTTGCGATAGTTTAAAAAACACTCGGTATAAATAAAAGGCATCATAAAACTGAATTGATTGAAATTCACTTGTTTATGTTTACTGTGCTATTATTGCAACAGTTTGATGAGAAGGCATTTTTTTTTAACATACCCCGTATACTATTTGAATGTATGCAATGTTTATTGACTTGTACTGTTAAATATAGTATAATAAAAGATTAGATAAACAGTGATAATAGTAAATATTAACATTCGTATCCAAATAGAAATAAAATATATTTTTTTAATAATGCTTAGTTATTCTAAAATAAAATATTCACAAATAACATATAAAATATTAATAAATCCAGATATATTATTATTTATAAAACAAAACTAATAATTAAAATATAAAATTGGTAATATTATTATTAATACAAACATGCAAGTATATTTTTTTTTAATCTTGTAGAAACATTTTTGTCTGATATTTTTTTTTTAATTTTGACTCACTCTGTATAGTAAGTGTATTTATGGAATTTTAATGGTAATAATAACATTTCAAAGAACTGTAAATTTAGTTAAATAAATAGAGTATAGTAAAAGATTAGATAAAGAAAGATATAAAAATAACAACAATCTTAACACAAATAAAAATAAAATAATATCACGGTTAAATAACATCAATAAAAAATTCAAAAAATTACATATAACATATCTATAGCCATCCATATTTTTACTAATCAATACTTTTAGTTAAAATATATATATGAGCTTGATATTCTTAGGTATGTTTAACACCAAAATATTATTATTTTTTTCTAGTAATTTTTTTTAGTTTAAGTTAATTATTTACATAAAAATTAAAAATTAATTAATTCTTTTTTCTTTTTTTTATTCTTTTAGATTTTTTTTTTGTATTTAATTATTATTTTTTAATTTTTAACACATCCTGTAAATGTTAATGGTAACAAAACAACATTTAAATAAATAGAGTATAATAAAAGATTAGATAAAGAAAGATATAGAAATCTTAACACAAATAAAAATAAAATAACATCATTATTAATAAGAAAAAATTAAAAAACGACATATAAAATATTAATATCTATAACCAGACATATTTTTATTAATCAAAACTTTTTAGTTAAAATATATGTATGAGCTTGATATTATTAGGTATATTTAACACCATCCACCATGCAGGAAAATAAAAATAATAAATACAATACAACCAACACCAAAATATTATTATCTTTTTCTAGTAATATATTTTTTAATTTTTATTCTTTTAGAATTTTTTTTGTATTTCACTATTATTTTCTTTATTTTTAACACATCCTGTATAGTATGTGTATTTATGGAATTTTAATGGTAACAGTAACATTTAAAAAAACTAATTAATAAGAACGTATAATAAAAGATTAGATAACGAAGGATATAGAAATGTTAACAATCTTAACACAAATAAAAATAAAATAACATCATTAATAATAAGAAAAAATTTAAAAAACGACATATAAAATATTAATATCTATAACCAGACATATTTTTATTAATCAATACTTTTTAGTTAAAATATATGTATGAGCTTAATATTACCAGGTATATTTAATACCAACAACCATGCAGGAAAACAAAAATAATAAATAGAAAACAACCAACACCAAAATATTATTAATTTTTTCTAGAATTTTTTTTTATTTAAGTTAATTATTTATAATATTAATTAAAAATGGAAAGTATCTTACATTATGTCATAACAGTACCTGAAAAAAGACTATATGCGCAAGCCCGTCCTATTTATGTATATCTATATACAAATTCACTCGAATAATTAATTAATTCACATTCAAATAACGCCAAACAAGATATTTTTGTATTAAAAATATACTCTTACTAAGCATAAAAACGAAATTACTTTATCTAAAGTTAAATCAGTCTTGTAAAAATGGCAGTGACGGATTTTTAATAATTTTTAATACAATTATTCTTTTAATAATATGTACGTGGTAGCGCGTATACGAGTCAGACACACAGGATACATATATATCTTTTTCAGTCTATTCAGTCTAAAATTATTTTATCTTGACCCCCAGTGTGGGAACGCTCCGAGTCAATCTCAGACGCTCCCACTGAAAGCTCGATTTTTTCTGCCGCGTTGCAGCAAATCGTCAGACGAGCGCAACGTACGTCCTAGCTACAAACGGAGCGCCGTGCGGTTCGTGAAAGCTCGAACGTTTTCGTGGCTCTGTACTCCTGCTGCTGTCGATACCGAGCGTGACGTAAACACGTAGAAAAAACAAAAATAAAGGAAATGCTGCTTGTTGGTGCTTATGACAGGTCGAGGAAGTGTGCGTTGTTCGTTTTGAGTTGCATAACTACAAACCGCGCGCGGTGTGTATCTCTGGTTGCAGCACCAATAATGGATGAATGTTAATTAATTTTAGAGGTTTGTGTTTTGTAGCAGGAATAGGCGTCGTTAAAACATGCGTATTTAAAATGTAATTTATGTTATTGTTTAATTTAATTGTTTAATAGGAAAGTTATTAGTAGTTTTTTTTTCTCTATATACAGGGTGAGTCTTAAGTAAGTGCAAATATTTTTAGGGGTTGTATAATTCGACCTCAGAAACACGTCTTACTGAAGTGGACGATTTGTTCTTCCCTGATTCAGAGTTTTTTTCCTACAATAGATTATACAAGGTGTGTCTCAAAAGAATCTCACCTCTATAACTTTGTTATTTTTTCAGATAAATAAACGAGATTTGGTACGTTAGTATATGACATAAATCAGGATTGACTCAAGTATTCGATTGTTTTCGGTCACTTCCTCTTTCACCGGAAATGACTACAACTTTTGATTTTTAAACGGTACCGTACGGTTAAAGTTGTATTAACGGTAAAAACACTAATTTTCAATCAAAAAATGGAAATTTCTTGGAAAAATAGATTTGATCGTCTAACGTTTTTCTTGTCTTGTTCTGGCCGGTTAAAAGATGCCCAAATCGTATTTTTAATTATAACTCATTTTTTTCAAATAGAACGACAGTTTGCTAAGGTTTTTACGAATAATTTGGTACCACACACTTGGTACTTCGGGTCATGTTGTCGTTACACTAACTACTTTAAACCCTATATTAAAATTTAAAATTATATTTTTTTTTAATTGAAAATGTCAGAAGTTGGCATATTATATGTCATTCTATTCAGAATTTCATTTTCTATCAAATGAAGTAAAAAAAATAACGGGGGTGTCATTTAAAAATCAAAAGTTGTAGTCATTTCCGGTGAAACAGGAAGTGACCGAAAACAGTTGAATATGTCAACCAATCCTAATTTATGTCATATACTACCACATCACAAAATAAAAAGATTATAGAGACTTACGTTTGAGAAACACACTGTATATCGGGGTATTTCCAGTACTGGCCAAAATAGGAATCGATAATGTTATTAGTTATTAGAATTGTTAAAAAAATTAAAGGTATAAAATGAAGGAATAATATAGCCTGAGCTAAGCAATAAACCATTGACAAAGGACTCTATAGAAGGTGAAGTCTCCAAATTATTACACTTTTTCAAAATGATACGACTAGAGAATGTAAAATGTTGAAATAAAAAAAATATAACAAAAAAGTAATACAAAATAAAATTAATAAAAAACAAAACAGAAAAGAAAATTCAAAAAAGTCTAATAAAACCCATACTGTTACTGACATCTGTAAAAAAGAAAAATGTTAAACTAATCAAAAAATTGAGAACTCAAAAATCAAAATCATTTCACAGAATGCTATTTTAATTAATAATATTTAAAAATTTCAGGTAAAGTAATATTTGTACAAATTGCAAAGTAAATAGTAAAAAAGTGTATTCCAAAAACATAAAAAAACAAAATTTGGACAGCTGTTTTTTTTTCAGACCAAAATTCAAATTTAGTTGGGAATGAGAGTAAAATAAAATTAATTAAAATATTTTCCAGAATTTGATCAGACTGAAATTGAGAAAAAAAAGGTAGAGAAAATGAAGCTGGATCGAAATTGGATTGAATTTTTCTCCTACCGAATTATCAACCGCTGTGAGATAATTAAATTCTAGCAGAAAAAGGAAATGGCCTCCAGATCCAGAGATATTATGCAGACTACAGGGTGATTCATACATAACTCATGGTACATAACGGGCACCTTAAAATTTTGCTGTATTTCAAAGTCTAATATATTTTGTTCTAGTGAGCCGATTTTGATGATTTTTTAAGCAACTTGTAGCTAAATTATTTGAATTTTTGGTATCTCTTTCCAAATTAAAAATGAAACTTTCCATCTGTCAATTATACGGAGGAAAACAAAATGTTGATATTTTAGTGAAAGTTTGAAACAGAAATAATTTTATCGTCTAAGTACATCTTTTCCGGATAGTTTATTTTTTGTTGTCATTTCCCAGCTATCTTTGACACCATTTTTTCTCGATCATACGGTTATTCATAATACCCTTGTGACATGCCTTTCATCACGTATCATAGAATTAATCTTAAAATAATACTAACTCTAACCAATGAATTAACACCCTCCAAATAACCACGCTAACCAACCCGCCAAATAACTAAACCAACCCAA